TCACTTCCTCTAGGGGTCCAAAATCAGTTGGTTACCCTAGTGCAGGATCCCAAAAGTAGGTAAAGCGGTTCAAAGTAGTTTCCATTTACTTGTGTGCAATTGTAACCTGCAATAGCCGTTTTCCAAGCAAACCGAATCTGCCGTGCTTTGGAAAATCATCTTCTCGAGAGCAGGATTGCAATTGCTCATTACAGCTAAAATGCTATTTTTCATTATTATGAAACAATGGGATACCATGATGATAATTTTTACTTGTAAGATGCAAGAAGAGGTGGTAAAGATTGTATATGACATATAAAATTTGTCAATTTTGCTTTCAGAAGGTCACAACTAGCGATTAGCTATAACGATGAGCAACGCGATGAGCGAGCAATCAGCGATCATAAAATCACTAGTTGTAACCTTCTAAAAGCAAAATTGACAAGTTTTATAAGTCATATATTATACATTCTTTACCACCTCTTCTTGCATCTTACAAATACAAATTATCATTTTAGTATCCCATCGTTTCATAATAACGAAAAATAGCATTTTAGCTGTAATGAGCAATTGCAAGCATGCTCGAGAGTGGGTGTCAGGATTGCCACGCAGATCGAGCCGAAACGCGGATTAGACAGCGGTTAGTCCAGGAAAATGATTATAATCAAATACCAAAATTAACACGGGGATTTCGATACAGCTTCGCTTCACACAATCGGCACACACCAGTGCACGGTTCTTGGAGGGAATCGGTCGAAATCGGTCGTCGACAACCGGCGAGAGAGCGCGGAAGATTTATGCGGTGCTGCAACTAACAAGGTGTCAAACAATTACACAGATTGGGAATCGAGCACCCTGACATTATCCCATCAATTCGGAGCGGCGCAGACGAAGGCGGTTCGATCCACAGGGCGCGTTTCGGCTTTGCAGCCTTTTTTCGAGGGCGGTCTACGAAGCTGCACGTAAGACGGTCAGGAACACCGTTGCCAAGAGGCCAACCAGAAAGCGAGGTTCTTAGCCACCACCAAGAGAAGGTCACTTCGAAGACGAAACGAAGTCGTGGCGCTTCGCGAGACTGACGCAGCATACGCAATCTGTTGGACCGATAGTTTCGAGTGACACTCGACGAAGCAGGTCGGCGGACACGACGGACGCGAAGTACCCAAGGGTGCTGCAGAGTGGTCTTCGACCAACGGAGGAGGAGAAAGCATCGATGTGTAGTGTCGTGCGGCGTCGGTTCGGCGTCTGATTGCAGCGGTTCGTCGAAAAGCGAGCGACGGTAAGGGTGCACCTGGCCGGTAACAGTGAGAAGAGTAGAGCGCTACTTCGTCGTAACTGTCCATTTCCGTTCTATCGATCAGAAAAGATCGATTATATCAATGATTTCACCGTGCACAAACCAATAATAGGTTTGTTCCGATGCGTTAGTTCATTAGCTACAACATAAATCCTGTTAGAGCGCATTGTATGAATATTTACGCTCATTGTTCTCAAAACAAAAGAAGCGCTCCTAGCGAATCCACCTTTTTTACGTTTATCCGTAAGACGAAGAAAATCTAATGGCGTTTCAATGCGTTTGGACGGAATTGAAACTCGTAGAACTAATTTAGAATCAAGAAGCAGTATTAGATTTTAAACAATATCTCAACAATTTGTGAGTCAAATCCAACGGTACGTATGGAAAGGTGAATAAATTTAGAAATAATTTTTGACAGAAATATTCAATTTTTTGTTTAAACTCGTTCAGAAAAGAGAGGTAAAGTGCGGGTTGTGCTTAGTAGGACGGAAATTAGATCGAAAACCCTACTCACATGAAGAGAAAATATGATTGGAAAGATAATAAGAGGCACCAAGATGCCGTGAGAGCAGGATAGTAGGGTAGTAGAAAAGTAGGAGGAAAAACAAGTCCAATGTAAGGGACCAATGGAGGGGTTCAAAATATAAGTATAAAAATGCATTTGGAGTTCGTTTTTGGGTTTGTTGGAACCTTTGCCCTTTAGTGTTTGTGCTTTTGTCCGCTGGAATATAATAAACTGGATTATTTTTTTTCAAATTAACCTTTGGTTCATAATGGGTTCTTGGGGAGCCAACAAAACGAAACAGTTGCTGTTGTAGCTTAAGAACATTTAGCCACTTGCCCCAACACTTTTCACTTACCCCACCGTACTTAATCTAATTCAGCATGATTTTATCGTTTAAATATAATATAATAGCACTCATTTTAACTAGTTTTGATTTCCTATACGTTAGTCGGGCTAGCTGTGTCCTGCCATCAAAATCGTTCTATTACCTGCCATCAGCGTCGTTCTGGACCTGCGGTCGAGTTCGGTGGTGGGGTCTCCTACCCATCGTCTTCAGGCAAGTATGTATACATTAGTTACAGTAATTTTCCTGATCAGCTTTCGTGTTCCAGTGCAACGCCTGGAGCATCTGCCGGCTGTTTACAGTTGAGAGTACTTCTGATACTGCTCATTCACAACATCCGCTTTTCTGTTCGAACAATCCTAATTCATCTCCGGGACGCACAATAGACCGCTCTTGTCGTGCCGATTCCTGCCAGCGCTCAGCATATTCGTGCTGGACCTGTGGCTGGATATGAATCAGGAGTCGTCCACCTTGCCTCTACAGGCAAGTACAATTAATATATTGGCTATTCACTGCCTGATGTCGATCAAATTTTCAGCAATTCGGACTGTTAGTCATTGTGATGATGCATCTGTAACTCCCAATCCTGGGAACCCGGAACGCGCCGTAGAAAGCCCTATGGAAGCCCTCAATCCCTCCGCCTCAGTCCTGCCATCAGCAGCCTTCGTTCATCATAGTCGTTCCGGACCTGCTGTCGGATGTGGAGGGGGACTTCCAACCCACTAACTAAGGCGAGCAGTGATGGCATGATCATTAGCAAATTGACATTGTTCAGCTCTCATACGCTCTCAATATCACGCTTGATATTGGAGCAAAATATAAAGCTTGATATTGGTTTTACAAGCTCCTTTGATATTGCGAGACTATTCATAACGTGTAAAGTTGAAGCCTCGATTGAAGCTGAGAGTTATTCGACGCAAATCTCTGTTTTATCTTCACCGATGGCAGACACGAAGCGGCTGCTGCTAGCCGTTTTGGAGGTTTCGGTTGCGTTCGGATGTGAAGCAAAAATTATGAAAATCAATCTCACCACAGTTTGGAGAGATTTGCAGCTGGTGAGTTTTGTTAGCTTGATATTCTGAGCTGCGACATCACAGCTTGCAATATCAACCGCAGTTGTATGCTTGTTGATATTTAGCTAAAAAAATCAAGCGTGATCTTGGGCATTGGTGAGATTTGATTTGTTGATATTTTTCCGAGCATTTTTCCAACACTGAAGGCGAGTATTCAATCAGACTTGATGGTCAGTTATTGTCTGATGTATCTGAGATTTCCAGGGAGAGCAGTCGTTCGATTCCTTGCCGCAAGCAGGACGTCGTGATCTTCTACCAAAACGCCGGTGGAATGAATTCTACGATGTAATTGTCCTGCACGAAACGTGGCTCTATTCTCGAAAGCTTTCCAGTCAAGTCTTCGGTCCTGACTACGAGGTCTTTTGTTGCGATCGGAATTCTAACAACAGCCGTAAATTTGCTGGTGGAGGTGTCCTTGTAGTTGTCCATGGCGGATTGGAGCCAAAGGCCATCGAGAACGATTCATGGAACTATGTGGAGCAAGTTTGGACAGCCATCAATCTGGGTGATCGCACACTATTTCTAAGCGCTCTGTACATTCCACCTGATCGAGTCCGGGACAATGAACTCATCGATACTCACTGTCGGTCAGTTTTCACATCATTTCATAGCGGATTCCTGTATCCAGATCCTGATAGCTCTATATTTAACGCAGGATTTTTTTTTTTTTTTTAATTCTTTATTTAAGAGATTTTTAGCCTTAGGCTAGTTCATCTCTAGCAATTTAACGCAGGAGCTATTAGCCTTTTTGACAACTAAAGCGCAGCAACGCTTTCTCAAATTAACCATGTAGTTAACGAAAATGATCGTAGTTTGGACCTCTGCTTCGTGAGCACACAGGACAGGGCTCCATTAATATCCTCGGCTCCTTGTGCACTAACTAAACTAGATCCACATAACCCTCCTCTAATCGTCACTGTTGTCACCACGGTAGCATCATAGATGTATTGTCTAGTATGGTATGGGAGAACATCCTTGATCCAGATGACGTTGAGGCTGCAGCGCAAACCTTTTCACATGTCTTGGCATATGTCATTGACAGACACGTCCCGAAAAGAACTCAACACAAAGTGTTTCACCCTCTATGGCAGACGAGAGAACTATGTAGATTGAAGTCAATCAAGAGAACAACATTGAAAAGATTTACGAAGTATCCCTAATAAAAAATAACCATAAACGAACGATAACCCAAATCATTTAACTATTCCACAAATGGTTTGGATGATACCCAGAACACGTCGTAAAGCAAATTAACCATACAATTTTTATTAGGGATCGCACGCTTCCTCTGAAACTACATTATGGGAGCCTGAATCACATGTACCAGCGAGTCAGTCGTGAATGCTTTTCATGTTTCCAACGAGGCATTGTTAGATAGATATTAACAAAAACATAAGTATTCCCATGGTAATTCCCATATAAACTTGAAATGGTTTGTGCCAAGTCAGTTTCTTATTAAAGTAGTTCAAATTTGGGGAGGCTAAGCAGGACCCAATTTGGAACCGTTTAAGCACCGTGGAGCGAAAATTTCAAATTTTGTATCAGTCTAATGGACATGGAACAGTTAGACCGGATTATTCGAGCAAGATGAACCCAATCGCGTTGACGGCACCGTCTCTTCACGCTCAGACTGACAGATGTTTATGAAATTTTCGCATAGGAGTAAAGAGAGTCACAGAACCGTCATCAACGTAAACCTGAGGTAGAATGACAATCTAAATTAATGCTGTTACCTACTGTTCATTTTCTTTCAACAGTTGTTGATACTAAAACTGTGTGATGAACATATTGTTAATATATTAATTAATTATATGCCCACCTATCGCACTATAGTGCTGTTTTGATGCAAACGCATAGTATAATGGCAACGCCCTCCAAGAAACGGCCAGATGTCCGTAAGTAGTTAAAATACAAAAGTCACAAAGACATCGCTTCATTTCCACAATTTCAGCCGCTCACTTGCAGAGCAACTCCAATGTGCGTTACATTTCCGAGCTGAAAACCATCACCCCCAGCACGACGGCCAAAGATCTCACCGAAGAGCAGAAGCGAGCCTTCATGGCAATGATGCGAATGGTGCACGACCCCAAGGAGATATCGTGGACAAAGCGGAGGGAAAAACTGGATCGTCAGCAAGCGGCCCGGATCGAGGCTGCATCCAAGAAGCGTCAAGAGGATCAGGTCTCAGATCAGAAGATGGATCAAAAAGCAATGCGCCGGGAATCACTGAAAATGAAAGTCAAGAAAATGCGAGCCGAGAGAAGGTTCCCTCTGCCGTCGAACGGACCGCGAGGGGAACAAGCCAGGAGGTATGGCTTCATTCCGTATTCACAACGGAAGAATAACCTAGAGGATTACGCCAAGATTTAAAAATCAGAAGCAGGGTTGTGATATGAATGATTAGACGACAAGAATTCACAGTGCAATTGATTTTGCATTCGTAATACGAAAACATACCCACCTTAAAACTACTGGGTCCTATCAGCCATGAACAGCCCAAAGTCCGGAGGAATCACGACGCCTGGATTCATCATCGGAGACGGCGAGGAGCTGACCATCATCGAAGAAGACTGCGACGCCGGACTACCAATCATCGTACCTATCTCCGGCTGGACAGCAAAGTATGGCTGCGCCTGATGTTCCTGCTTATCGGCAGGTTCTCCATGGCTCCTCTCGTGCAGCCTCATGTTTCCTAGAGTGGCGAATGCCCGGGGGCAGAATTTGCACTGGTATGGTTTCTCGTTTGTGTGAACCCCCCGGATGTGCGTGTCCATGTGGTGCTTCTGACGGAAAGACTTCTGGCAGTACTCGCAAACGTACGGTTTCTCACCGGTGTGGACCCGTAGATGCTTTTTGTGCGAACCGGATGAAGTAAACCGTTTGAAGCAGATGTGGCATTCGTAACGTTGATCACCTTTTATGTAGATGAAAAATTAAGTTAAATTTTATATCACATAAACTCAAGTACCGAATCTTACCCGTATGTGTCCTGATGTGCATGCTATGAACCCCGATCGAGGAGGAAACCTTCCCACAGAATGGGCATACGCAAGTCTTTTTACGGTTTCTTGGTGGTCGCTTTTTCTTCTTGTCCGGTGGCAGATGAGTACTTTTGTGCAAATTCAAGTGACCCTGCGTCTTGAAACCCTTGTTGCATAGTTCGCAGATGAAATCCCTTGTTTCGATATGAACCGCATAATGGTAGCGTAATTTGCCTTCCTTGGAAAATCCCTTGCCACACTTATCGCAAACGTACGGCAAATTGTCAGTGTGGACATCCTCCATGTGGGTCTTCAACCCTGATTGTGTGGCATATTTCTTATCGCATTGGGGACACTCAAACTGGCGAATGCCGGTATGCTGTAATTCATGATCTTCCAAACGACATTTTCTCGAAAACTGCTTCGAACATTGCTTGCATTGGTATCGTTGTTTGCCATGAACAGCTCTTTTATGAGCATACAAGTTCGATCTCTTATCAAAGTGATCCCCGCAGATATCGCAAATGCCAGATTTTTTATCTATCTTCTTCAGTTTCATCTCCTCGGATAATTTCTCTATTTGATGATCTGCACCGGAGTCATTCTCATTGTCAGATTCCTCCGAATCACTTACCTCGTCTCCAATCTCCAGTTGAGTTTCCACTTTCGTCGTACACAAATCTTCATCCGAGTCATCACCATATGACTCCTCCAAAATGGGCCGCTGCTCGTCTTCCTCTTCCAATGCCTCTGTTTTCACTAAGACCTTCTCCGCCACCAAGCTCACATCCGGCTTCGTCTCTTCCTTTGTTTTCAGAAACCGACTGTAGTCGAACGGCGGAATGAACACCTCATGATTCTCCCCGTTTTTGGTCAAAAACTCCATTTCGTGCCGAAGCTTGGTGTCCGTTATCTCGCACTGCATCTTGAAGTTGTACGCCTGTTCCAGGTTATGGTGGCAGCGTCCGCAGATGCGTTTCGGTAATCCATCGTTGTCGTAGATCTAAACGAGGAAACCCTATCAAACTTACTCTGGAAAGATTAGTGGACAACGCATATTTACCGCTATATTTGCGCAAGCCCGGATCTTTACCAGCAGATTCTCGTTATTGTTTGCAAACAATTCGATCCAGCTATTACCAGTTTGATCCGGAGATTCACACAATCGACAGATGGTGGCGTAGAATTCCATTGTGACGAATGTTCCAGCTACATTCCTAAGCACGATTATACGATAGGAGATTTTCTTCGATAACTTGCAGATATGAGACCAAAATATCCGGAATCAACGGAGAACATAAACATAAAAATCACTTAAACATTTTTTGTTGTTGTTCATTCCGCACACGCTAATTTGAAAGAACTCATTAATGATTAAAATTTGACCCACTTTGAAGTAAAGTGGCTTCCCTAATCAAAAATTACCATAAACGAACGATAACCCAAATGGTTGACGGATGAAATCGGAGTTTATCGGAGTTGTCAATGCGATTCGTTTCGATAGCTGAGCGATCTGCTGTTTTTGCTTAGCCATTTCCTTCCTAAGCTCAGCGTGTGCGATTTCCTGTCTCTCGGTGATAGAATTAATCACACTGCCAAACGGCGAGACGGCAGTTTTGAACCGAGCACATTTCATCAGCTTGGCGCACTCGTTACACATCCAAAACAGGTTCGGGCTGTGAAAACTAGATATTTACTCTGGTTGAGAATCACCCAACACGTCACGGTAGTCACACGTCTCGCCTGTCCGATGGCCTTCCACGGAAAGAGGACGAATGCAGTACTCGCATTAGGTTTTGCACCGTCGGGGTTAACCTTAATCTGATGACAGTTTAGTGGTACTGTTTACGTGGACTTAGCCGATTTTTTCTTGGGTGGATTTTCTCGATAATTTTTCAGACTGCAGTGAGATGTAAACCACACTTCTGCATTGTCCACGAGCAACATCCTTTCATCGCGCTGTTCCTCGACAATTTTCAAGTTAAAGTTCGGTAATTTTAGAATATTTAATTTCGAAAAAACGTCTAAGTGCTTGTAAACAGTACCACTGAACTGTCAAAAAGGTTCAGCCTATTAACACTGAGTTCATTCGTGACGTCACGCTGCAGAACCTAATTCAAAACAAACATTGCGTAGTACTAGAATTTCGACTGGAATAGGGTACGTTAATCGTTTACTTGGGACCAATAGGCTACTAAAGTGGTGAGCCAATTTAAAATCGTTAGTTTCGTATTGATTGTTGGTAAAAGTCTATTCTTATCGGCAGGCATTCGTACTGTGCGTACGGTTGCCTTACTAGGCATGGTGTTGGCCATCCCTAGTTGGCTGCGCATCTCCACAATCCAGCAGGCCCCTCGTTTGATCGAGCGAAGGCAACCCTGGCATGCGATCGCCCGTGACGGATAACTGACAATGATGTCTATCATCGATCGGGGTAAGTGTCAGATAACCAAAAACAAAGGCCATATAGCGAAGTATATCTAAAAGGCCGTGCGGTATAGGATTTGTGCTTAATACTAAATAATGTACATTTTTCATAAAAGAGATTAATACTAAATAATAGTTTATACTTACATTACTACCTAATCTAGTGAGCATAATTAAATTAAATTGAACCTATAACTATCCTAAACCTGAATTAATAGCTTCTAGGGTACTACTGCTAAATAGAGCTACTATCTAACCTAAAAACTAGCCTACAGAGTTGGAATCGTGGTAAGAAAATAAATTAAATAGAATTTCTTCAAAATCTAAACGATACAAACATTACAGCTTGTCGCATTCTACTCTCAAAAACAGCTAAAATTAAACTACAGAAAGGGGACTAAACGTGAGAACACTTATTACAAATCAAATTTACAGCATACATGCAAATAAAATTATTATAGAACACACTTATAGATATATACAAAACACATTAACTTAAACTATGTAACCTATTTACAGGAAAATTATAATATCTCTACGAATTCCTATATTCTGGGTTCTGGTATTATATTTACGGAAGAAATCCCCTGTCCACCTGTTGCCTCTCGCAACACATGGGCTTGCGGCTTTGCTTGCCGGCGCAAGGCTGAGCAGTACACGTGTGTATCTATGCCGTCCTTTGGCTTGTGCTACCTCGGTCGTAAACATGGATTGACTTTCGTCACCATGCGCCGTTTATTTGGTGCAGTACCAGCAGGACCTCTTCCGAGCAGCGGCTTGTCTTTGTTTTCTTTTCTCTTTTGCCCTTTTTTTATAAATAATAATTTCCTACCGAAATACTTTCGCTTTCCCTTGCCACTCTCATAAGGTGAATGACCTGGCAGAGGAAGCCCTCCTCTCGATTAGGAACCCAAATAGAAAATTACCATAAACGAACGATAACCCAAATGATGGAACTATTCCACAAATTGTTTGGATGATACCCAGAACACGTCGTTAAGCAAATTAACCATAACATTTTTATTAGGGAAATTTATAATAATTACGATGTCGCGTTCGCAACATTGGGTACTTTTTTCTTGCCGTGTAGACTTTTAGATATTAATTAACCACTTCATTCGAGCAGATAAAATGACGTTTACTACCACTCGAACTTTGAAATGAAACATTATTTTGAGATTTTTTCTTCTAGAACCTCGAAAAAAGTAGCCAACATTTGTGCGTTTCACAAAAAAATAGAAATTAGTTGGCCCAGTTTTGTGAAATCGCTGGTAGAATGTCACGCCAAAACTGCTTGACAAAGTGGTCAATTAAACGAGAACGATCGTGTTATTACCCCTCGGCGGATGAATTCATGATGAACACTGATGAATTTGTTCAGTGACAGTAACTGTTTAGGTAAACCAAAAATTAGTCCAACAACAACAACAAAGTCGATTTTTGGAGCAGCTTTCCGTTCCGCTTCGATTATTCGGAAAATTTATTCAGTTCCCTGAGGCCATCAATCAAGATAATTTGCTGAGGAATTTGGTGGCATTATTCTTCGGCATGGAATATTACGCCAGCATCTGTCGATTGTGTGAATCTCCGGAGCAGACGGGAAACAGTTGGGTCGAACTGTTCTCCCCCAAGAACGAGCAGCTTCTTCCTATGATTAGGGCTTGCGCTAATATCATGGTAAGCAAACCAAAATGTTTCTTGATCTATTTTATAACTTTAAACGGTTTCCTTGTTACAGATTTGGGAAAACGATGGATTGCCGATGCGTATCTGCGGACGTTGCCACCAGAACCTGGAACAGGCATACAACTTCAAGATGCAGTGCGAGGTAACCGACGCCAAGCTTCGGCACGAAATTGAGTTTTTAGGGAAAAATGGCGAGAACCACGGTTTGCCCGTTCCTCCGTTCGACTACAGTCGGTTTCTGATGGCGCGGAAAGATACGAAGGTGGATGTGACCTTGGCAGCGGAGAAGATTTTCGTGAAAACAGAGATGGTTGCAGACGAAGACGGCGGACAACCTATATTGAAGGAGCCGAATGTTGAATCGGATGATGAATTTAGCTCGGCAAAGGCGGAACCTGAACTCAAGATTGAGGTGGATTGGAATCCGTATAAAGACGAGGTCAGTGATTCGGAGGAATCTGACGATGAGAGCGAAAATGTTTTAGATGGAGAAGAAAAAGCGAAACCGAAGGAGAAGACGAAGCCCGCGGAGGTCGATAAGATGCCAAAATCTCACATTTGCGAAATCTGCGGGGATCAGTTCGATAAGAGATCGAATTTGAATGGCCACAAAAGAACTGTACACGGCCCGAAGCGATACCAGTGCTCGCAGTGTTCGAAGTGCTTTTCGAAAAAATCTCGCTGGCAAGATCACGAAGTACAACATACCGGCATTCGACAGTTTGAGTGCCCTCAGTGCGATAAGAAATATGCCACCCAGGCAGGGCTAAAGACCCACATGGAAGATGTGCACACTGACAATTTGCCGTACGTTTGCGATAAGTGCGGTAAGGGATTTTCCTCGGGAAGCAAACTGCGCTACCATTATACGGTTCACATCGATACGAGAGACGTAATCTGCGACATTTGCAAAAAGGGTTTCAAGAGCAAGTTTCACTTGAGAATACACATGGACTGCCACCTGCCACCGGGCCAGAAAAGGACACGGAAGCAAAGAAATCGTAACAAGACCTGCGTATGCCCATTCTGCGGGAAGATATCCAACTCGATTGGTGTGCATACTACGCATCTCAGGGTGCATACGGGTAAAGTTCGGAATGGCTTTACTTTTCGATTAAATAACAAGTTACATACTTTGTTTATCCACAGGTGAAAAGAAATACGAATGTCACGTCTGCTTCAGACGGTTCAATTCTCAATGTTCGCAAAAGAAGCACATACTGGTCCACACCGGTGAGAAACCGTACGTTTGCCAGTACTGCCAGAAGGCTTTCCGTCAGAAGCACCACATGGACACGCACATCCGGGGTGTCCACACGAACGAGAAGCCCTACAAGTGCAAATTCTGTCCACGGGCGTTCGCCACCCTGGGAAACATGCGAGGGCACGAGAAGAGCCACGGAGAACCGCTCGGTGCCGCCAAACTGGACCAGGAAATGCAGCCGCCTGCTGTCCAGCTGGGGGTAGGCGTGATGGATAGCCTGTCGTAGTTGCCTTCTCCGCCGATGAATCTGGGTGTTGTCATTCCTGTACACTGATTGCGCACAACATAGATGCGGAGTGTAGTTATTGAAACTATAAATTTAAGAATTATTTGCTTGTGAATTTTTATCGGCTTATCTTTTTATGTATCACAGCCTGGATTTTTTTTTTTTGAGGCTGCAAAAAAAAAGCTGCACTTGTAGGGGTTGAAGGACGTGGATAACTGAGTGGAGCCTGAGGAGGTCAACCACCGACGAGTGTCGATTGCCAATTGGTGAATCATGGTGACCGGCTCGGATTGTAGCCGAACATACTGAGGTGAAAAAAACAGTCGTCATAGGTCCGGAACCGTCTCAAAAGTTCAGGAAACGTCGTAGAATTGAGTTGTTTAAAGGTATTGAAGTAAACACATATTCGTAATCTGCATTAAAAATGGAACCGAAGTATTGATTTAAAAAAAAAATGAAACTTAAAAATATAACTTATTTTCGCTGTTCTCATATACTTTGGGACAAGATGAGCACCCTAAGTGGGTTTGAAATGATTGTTTCAAGTTTTAGCGAAGATATGGATTGGTTTATTAACACAGAATACCAGTATTAGTAAAAAGAACAAAACAAGTAGCAAACAAAAACATAAGGTAAGTTTATTTGATAAAACGAGTTTCTTATATTCATGATACGGATTAGTACCCTCACAAAGATGGAACCATGCGTTACACTTTATGCATTTACTCCAATTTTCTCCTTCCATAATTTTATGTCGCTTTCGGAATCCGGCCAACCAATCTTGTCCCGCAAGTCCTATGGACTTGTTGAACGGATGAGGAATGTGGTTTTTTTTCCGCAAGATCAAAAGCCAATTGACGAATTTCTTTGGTCGTAAGGCCGTAGAACGATTTTTCCATGTTTGACACATACAAGCTCGTTCTCCTGTTGTTCCGTAAAAACGGTGCAGTATCGACCCAACTGACTCACTTTCTCACTACGTTTAAGATGCCAGGTTAGCGTTTGCCGAGGAATGCCCATACTCGGATGCAGCTCTTTTAACGGAAAATCCTTGCGAGACAACAGCTTCGACCGCAGCATGAAGATTTGCTGTGGCCCAATTTTTTCTACAGGAAACGCGTTTATAATTTCGGACCTTTTTGTAGATTTCAGATGTATTCACCGCACTGTTGTTTTAAAAATTTAACTTTTGAGGTTAGGACACTGAGTAATGATGTGGCGATCTTACCCCGGAGATAGGTGCTCGTTCCACCCCGTTTGGAGAACATTTATTAAAGTGTTAGTTTGGCTAATTAAATTGTTAAATAGTTAAAAATGAATTACACACACACATCAAGTAAAGCGGCCTTACCATACTGGTGATTTGTAATTTAATGGCAAATGCTTATTTCAAGAGCCACATGTGAAAAGGGCATACAAGCTTTTTGTAAACAAACCTTTGTAAGCCCTTTCATCGCTAACTAAGGGTCGCCCACGCAAACCAACAACATCGTCGAGAAGGGAAAAGTTTCCCCTTTCCGGTGATGTTGATGGTTTGCGGTGGTGCCATATGGGTGGCGAGAAAAGGGCATAAAACGGTTTGTTTACAAAAAGCTTGTATGCCCTTTTCACATGTTGTTCTTGATTTTCTGATGCTAGTTTCTTATAGCAAATGGAGTATTTTTTTTCGGTTTTCACATTTTTATTTATTTTTCAATAACTTGTGTATTTGATATTTATTTTTGAAATGATGTAGGTATCTATGAATCATCTTTGATGGATAAAGGTATCCATTTTTAAGAAAAAAATATCAATTTGGATGTGTATATCAAGGGTGCTCATCTTGCCCCGTATGGCGATCTTGCCCCGTCCTACCCTATAGAAATTTTGTGATTTTTGGTGTAATTCGGGAAGCTTGGTAAAAAGTCAGGGACTTCATAGGAGGGCTGGTAGCGATGAATTCTGTCAAAAGTAGTGATTTTAGTGACCATGTTGAAGAAATAAATGACCAAATAGTGACTTATAGTTGTAAAAAAGTGACCTAAGGGAAGAAAGTAAGTCGTGATGGCATACCAAAAAAATGGATGTTTTAGACTTATTCAATTAGAATCTTTTTTTTTTTTTGGTTTGTTTTTTTTTTCGTCGTTCTTGTTTTCCGTGCTGAGCACCAATGCTACCGACGTGCCAGGAAGGCAGCTCCCACACCTGGACCCTACCTATCGACCCATCAACTCATGAACCGGGGACCAACGGCTTTACTTCCCATCCGAAGGAAGGCGTGATCAATTAGAATCTCATAAACACTTAAATATGTACGATAGGAACCTTTATAACGAAAGATGCAATGGACAAGGGGGTCAGGGGCTATGTCACCGATGTGAATATACACACCATCCATAATACACCAGGGAAGGGGAGAGGAGTGAGCAACACAGCATCTTTACCCATGGGGGTTAAAAAAGTTATGCGAGGTACACTTATGGTGAACCAGCTGCTCAGGGATTGTAGAAAGAAAAAGGGTTGGGTAGGTTTAAAATGCAGAATTAGATGCCATCGCGATTGAATACGCATGTTTAAATAATATTGATCCAGGTACCTATCGTATAAATTTGCATATCATCTAGTTATGATTATTGTCAATAATACTTACATTTCGATAAAGATGATGCTACCTATTTTACCTTTTATGTGATATCCATCATTACAGAATCCAACCTTGAATCGCAGAACAGGTCGACTAACAAAACACTCGTTCCGAGAAGGGGCTCATGGTTATCTTCTTCTTCTTCAGGTTCGCTCACCACCCGGAATGAAGGCTCGTTGCGGTTAGTAATATCAAACAGTGTTACATGCAAACGAAAAAGAGATACAACCAGGATTAGTTTTTTTTTAAAGTAATAGTCATCTGAATACCCAACTAACCATATCTCAGTGACATTATCTCACTCTGAACCTACATTAAAAGTTATTTTGTGATTATATGGTTACTTTGGTACCGTTCCGATTCAAATTTCGGACGATTCAAATTTCGGACACTTTCATTTTTAATTAAATATTACATCCAGTTAGAAACAAAGTAATAATGTTAGATGATCGTGGAGGGCACTAGTCAAAAAAAAATAAAAATTAACAAGACATGTGGATCATATTCGACCGAGATAATCAACTTTTAAAAGTGTCCGAAATTCGAGTTTAAGTGTCTGAAATTTGAATCGGCACGGTACTCATATGAAATGTTGTGCAAGTACCACAAGCTCAACAACGCCCAACTATGGACAGCAAACGGCGCCGGTGGTGTAGTGGTAAGCGTGATTACCTCTCACCCCAGCAGGCCTGGGTTCAATACCAGTCGGCGCCGCCGGGATGTTCTGAGGCATAACATCTCTGATCACGCCTTCCTTCGGATGGGAAGTAAAACCGTTGGTCCCCGGTTCATGAGTTGATGGGTCGATAGGTAGGGTCCAGGTGTGGGAGCTGCCTTCCTGGCACGTCGGTAGCATTGGTGCTCAGCACGGAAAACAAGATCGACGGAAAAAACAAACCAAAGGAAAAAAAACTGGATAGCTCAACGTTAATACCATGTCAAAAGCCACATGTGAAAAGGGCATACAAGCTTTTTGTAAACAAACCTTCTTATGCCCTTTTCTCGCCACCCATATGACACCAACACAAACCATCAACATCACCGGATAGGGGAAGCTTTCCCCTTCCCGATGATGTTGTTAGTTTGCGTGGTTGGCGAGAAGAGGGCATAATAAGGTTTGTTTACAAAAAGCTTGTATGCCCTTTTCACATGTTGTTCTTGAATTTACTCTTTGAATCAGCGTACACCAACATGATAATCTATTGCGTGTTGCATGATAATTTCTCAAAATGGGATTATACCATCTGCTTTCTGTTTATGGCCGTACGACTGCGCCCATTTATTTAACACACGGCGGCTATTTATCCAGGATTCGCTCCTCAAGCCGCTGCCATAAAATACTATCTAAGTTACACACCTGTGTATAATCCTTATGGGCGGAGTTGCATCGCGCTTATGAGCGGCGCGTTTCGACCGTCACCAAATGAGAATTTAACATAGACGAGTGCACGGATGGATTCGAGTTCACTCACTCGACAAAAAGTGACACAACAGCGGGGCCCTGTTTACTAAAAATGGACACATGACTAATACTCACGTAACATTTGAAACCGGCCTATCAACTTTCGTACACAAAACTTGTTAAGCCTTTTTCGGGCGAACCGAAAACTCCCACGCAAACTAACAACACCATCGGGTAGGGAAAATTATCCCCTTCCCGATAGTGCTCTTGGTTTGCGTGGGAGTATTTCGGTTCTCGTGAAAAGGACCCAGAAAATTGTTTACAAAAGTTGATAGGCCCTTTTCAAAAGTTGCGCGAGCATTATTCATGTGTTCATTTTTAGTAAACAGGGCCCCGCTGTTGTGTCAAAGCCACTCAGTCAGCAAAATCCAGGACAGCCGGCGCCGGTGGTGTAGTGGTAAGCGTGACTGCTTTCTCACCCCAATGCGTCTGGGTTCAATCCCAGCCGAGGTCGGTGAGATTTTTCTGAGGCATAAAAATCTCTGGTCACGTCTTCCTTCGGAAGGGAAGTAAAGCCGTTGGTCCCGGCCCATATGTGTGTTTGAATGGGTGCGATATCCTACGCAGGTGTGGAAGCTGCCTTCCTGCACATTCGATTGCCGTCAATGGATGGCAATCGATGTCCGTCGGTGATTGGCACTAGATTGCGGAACAGAGACCGACGTTAAATAAAGGAAAAGAAAAAAAATCCTGGACTTCGAAAAAATGTCAACCATGTTGGAGGAAGCTTCCTAGGAAAAGTTACTGAAAACCGGCTGAAATGCCTTCAGGTAATAAGGCATTGCTTAGGGAAACGGTGTTGAAGCATTTTCTGCTCCGGTAGAATGAATCCGGAGCAGGAAATTTCCAATTCCTTAAAAAAAAAAAATCAAAACAAAAACACTCCCCGCAACTGAAAATATCGCTGAGTGGATTTGACTCAGTCTACGTGAGAACGTAGTCTCCTCAAAAGTGAGTCAACATAATGCTACTCAATTTTGAGTAGCCCTACTTGCCGCTGAGATGAGTACATTCGACTTTTTAAGTTGACCAGAATAAGCGTGTAGGCTGTCTTGCAATGAGCACTCATACATCTAGTTTCCACTGGAAATCCTATGTATGAGTGCTCATTGCAAGACAGCCTATATTACATGATATAAGCCA